TAGCTTATAACTTATATCTTATGACTTATAGTTGAAAAGCTAGCTTATACGATAAAGTGTTTGGTAAAATTGGCAAATAAGCTGGCTGAAATAAAATTTTCAACAAACTTATTTGAAAAGATACTTTAAGAGAAGTTTATGAGATAAGCTCGAGCTTTTTAAAAAAAATAGTTTGACTAAACGAAATTTATTTAAATACAGAAAGTTTATAACAAAGTGAATTTTTTTGTGTTTCATTTGATACTTTGGGAAAAATTATTAAACCATATTCTAACTCTTCATTTTTTTTTTAATGGTATTATTATTGGCAGGTGGTTTTTTACCATGGCAGTCGTGGAGAAGATTCTTTACTGGTTAGAGAATGAAAACCTGAAAACAAGTTTATCTCCAAAACTTACACGGTTGATAGTAATAATAATAAATAGTTATAAATTAATATTATATGAGGCGGTCTAACCGTTAGAACTTAGACGGTTGATCAGTCATACTTTCTTAACAAAAATGTATATTTATGTTATAAAATGTTATGCTTTTGATTAATTTGTTTTTTTTTTTTTGGATATCACATTTATGTTTGAAAGTACGTATAAATACGATTGTTTATCCATTAGGTCTGTCTAACCAGTGTTTTAAAACGCGTATAGCGTAATGCGTCGCATTTTGATCTTAATATTGCGTAGCGTAAATAGCGTAGCGTGTTGCGTAAGCTATTTATGTATAATTTTTTTCTATAAAAATATTACATATATATTTGCATATAATAAAAGTGGATGGTCGATTACAAAAATTATCATAGTATTTGAATGACTTAAAAAATTACATCTAAGGATTATTTCTCACAAATATTTAATGTAATATATATATATATATATATTATATAATAAATCGAATATACTAAAAAGTAAAAACAAACAATGAAAATATAATGAGGTAAGTCATAGTATAACTTTAAGTATATGCATTTTAATTATTATTTTTTTATTTAACTAAAATTTAATTCTAACCATTAGATATGAACTTCTTAAAATAAAATAATATAACAAAATGGACCGATAAATATTGCACTATTCAACTTAGAACTTTGCATTTCCAAACTTTTAATTTAAAATCATTATCAAATTTTTAGTTTTTAGTTGTCATTTGTAAATATGACTGTGATCCCTAAAAATACGAGTTTTTGATTATTTTGTTGTTCAAATGTCGGCGTAGAAATATAGCGCAATTTAGCGCACAATAGCGTGAAATAACGCAAAATAGCGTAAGAAAGATTGTCATTTTGACATTTCGCGCAATCTTTTCGGGAAAAATGCTAAATATATAAGGCTACGTCGCGTTTTTTCAAAAATCCTCCCTATATATAATTCCCGAATGCGCTGAGCCTACGTGGCTGATTCTGGTGCTTCGTAATCCTACTTGGCGCAGAATCATGCTTCGTAATTAGGTTTGGACAAATAATATTGATATATTAATAATTAATAATAATAATCTAGGTTCGGACATTCCATAAATATTATTTATCTAACTTAGGTATTTTAATATCACTTGTACTAATATAACCTTTTAATTATTTGTAATTTTATAAAGTGAGACACTAAGTGACTAATATATCCCTGACTTTGATTTGTTTCCTTCAATTAGCTATTAAATTATAAATGTATTTTAAAAGTTGATAACTTTTGTATTTTTTATCGGTTTTACATATATTATATATCAAATTAATCATCTTTTGATAATCTTCGATTTGACATCCATATTGGATATATGAAATAAATAAATTATATTTATCTTTATAATAATAAAAAATAATAATATTTATTAAAATTCAATAGAAAAATAAAATTATTTATCAATTGATATATTTATTTTTA